TAACCAAAACTGTAAAATTGATCCTCCGTTCAATAACGTTCAATAACAATTGTCTATGATATATTATTTATGACCAACAATACTTGTCCACTCTATAAAATTAATGAATATAATTTGATTCTTTCTCTAAAATTAAAATATAAAATATAAAAATTGAACTAAGCAAGGTGCCAAATGATATTAAAATATAAAAATTGAACTAAGCAAGGTGCCAAATGATAGCAAAAGAAGGACAGGGTGGATAACCAAAATTTCAAAATTATACTTAATAACAAAAAAAGAATCAGATAAATTCAATATAGATGTATATTAAAGTTGAGGTGAATAATTAATTTTTAATAATAAAGTCCCTCGAGATTTAGAAGGGACATAGAAATTACCCCAAAAGCTAAATGTTCCATATATCATATTTGTCTTCCAAATATACAACAAAGTGATGTGCTTTAAAATATTCAGTTCCACATGGTGCAATTATTTTATAAATAAATTCAATTCATATAATACCAATAAATTTAAAGCATGACTTTTTTAATTATTTGTCTTCTTCTTGTTTACCTTTAATTCGTTTGTCTTATGCACACTCTACAAATTGCAAAAAAATTATTGACAAAATTAGCCTCAATTATTCGTTTCTTCTCAATCATTAATTTTTTATTAATGAAGTTAAACTCAAGTAACCGGTAGTCAGGCAAGTTATAAAGACTCCAAATATGTGTAAGAAGGTAGGTATACAATATTATTGTATATACAAACAAAATATTGTTGATGATGATTTGAAGTGATAATACTATATAAAATAAAGAGGTTCAATTCTTGTTCACTCATAGAAGAGAATTAAGTGAGAACCTATAAAGTTTTTCATTTGACGTTTATCTAATAAAGAGAAGATTTAGAAGAGTTCATCTTCACTTAACCATCTAAAATGATCTAATAAAATCACATTTGTTATTTGTAATAAAAGAATAAAAAAAAAGTCACTTAATTATGCATATAAAACTCAGAATGTCACTCAATCGACTCTACAATTGTTTTATATTCTAAGCACAAAGTAAGCACTTCAGCCTGACATGGTTAAAGCGTTGTAATGTCTAACTTGTTTATGGAGTAGTGTGAACCCCCCCCCCCCTTGAAATTTCCACAGGAGGACATGTCAACAAGTTAAGGGGTCGTTAGGTTGAACGTATTAGGAGAAATAGTTTATGTATTATATATTATATTATTTAGCATTATGTTTGGTATGAATTTTTGGGGCTAGGCAGGGACGTATCCGGGGAGAGGGGTCACCGGGTTCACGTGAGTTCATTCTCTCCTCTCAAGATCATATGTAGTATTATTATATTTTTAAAAGTATATTAAAATATAGATGCGTAAACCCACACTCAAAATGTCTTATAACGCAATGTTGATTGATGCATCTCTCTACGTGAGGTTAGAAATTTGAATTTTATATTTATTTTGTTTTATTTTTCTTTCTAAAATTAGAGAACACCTCTCTAAGTGGTTAATTTTTTGGGGGGTTGGGGTGGGTGGGGGCTGGTAGGGGGCTGGCAAGGTGGAGGGTAGGAGTTTAAAAATAAAAATTTGAATTGAAAATATTTTTAAAAAACAAAATTAATTTTTTGGGGAGGGGGTGTGGTTTGGGGGTTGGCCGGTGGTGGGTGGGTTGGGGCCGGGGATCGGGTGAAAAAATAAAATTTTAAAATTGAAAATATTTTTTTAAATTGATTTTTTTCAAAAAAAAATTGTAAGTTGAATTTGGAGGAGAGTTTTGGAAAATGTTTTCCTTAATTTTTGAAAGAAAGTCATTTTCCTTAATTTTGAGAAAAATGAATTGATTTGAAAAACATTTTCTAAAACTTTTGTCTCAACCAAATATGAGAATTGGAAAATACCAACCGCACTCTTAATTTGTATTAAGAAAATTTTGGTACTTACTTCAAAATAGTTGTCATGTTGCTCCTCTTTTGTACATTACTATTTTATTTTATTTTTTTTGTATGAGTGTTAATTATATTCTTCCTTCAAAAATCTATACAGTAGCATACATATCCATCTAACTATTTGATCTCATTTTAGATTTATGACTTTACATTATTTTGGTATATAAGTTCTTATATCTATATATATATATATATATATATATATATATATATATATATATATATATATATTATTCCATGATACAGGTGATGCCAATCTAAGTCCAGTTTGAACTCCATCCTTGCATTTCTTGGAGTTGATATTACTTTCTAAGTCACCCTACTGGATGTCAGAAAAAGAAGATAAATAAAGGTCTTGGAAGGCCAAAATGTAGGTGGAAAGATGCTGGTATACATATATTGTATACAGTAAATATACAGGATAGAAATGGGCTAAAAGCCCACCATTTCAAAGCAGCCCAAAAAGGCTAATCTGGGAATCTGGGTCCAAACCCAAGTTTCTTTAGTCTACTTAGCCTAAACATTATTATGCCTAAATATTGAAAAACAACTATATTTTAGCTTTTAATGAGACTCCTTACCAACAGTTTCATCATTTATTAAAAATATCATTATTTTAGCTTGTTAAAGAATTAATTAGGTATTTAATTTATTTTGATTAATTTGAAAGAATATAAATATTAATAATAGAACGGAGAAGTTCATGGAACAAAAAAATTGAAAAAAGGTAAAAAATAATTTAAATAGAAATTAGTTAAGTTTTGAAAAGAGCATAAAATAGTCATATTTCTATTGAGCGTTCTTTTTCTCTCTTTTTAAGACATAAAAAATGAAATAATCTAGGTTGTTTTCCGAATCATTTATTTGATAACTTTAAAAGCTTCTTCAAGTTGAATACGACATATTTTCAAAATGAAAAATTTTAAAATGGACGATTATAAATTTGTCGCATTCAGTGAATAATTGAAAAATAATCAGATTTTTTTTTGAATTTTTATTTGTTTGGATGAGATATTTGTATAGTACAAGAGTTTTTTTTTCCTGATTGAATCAGTGAAATCTTTGTGTGCATTGGGATTTATAGGTTATTTCGAATATAACTTAAGCTATACATTGCCCGGGAAGAACGATTTGGATTTTGTATTCAAATTATGATGTATAACAAATGAAATTGTTTTTTTTTTAATTTAGTAGTTGTTTTTTCTGTTTGAATGCATACAATAATTTGTATCTCATTAAGTTAATGTAACTAATTGATCATGAACTATATGTTGAATACAACAATCTATGAATACAAAAGTGAGATGAAAATACAAAGTGACATTGAATATAAAGTTGTGAATACAAAAAAAATACTTTTTTCATTGAAATACAAAGTGACTTTGAAGATAAAATACAAACTAATCGATCATAAACTATATGTTGAATACAACAATATATGAATACAAAAGTGAGATGAAAATACAAAGTTATAAATTCAAAGTGAGATTGAATATAAAGTTATGAATACAAAAGAAATACTCTTTTCATTTGACATACAAAGTAACTTTAAAAGGTAAAATAGGCACATAAATTACAAAAGTTGTAGGTATACAATTAGGTTGAATACAAAACAAAAGAAAAATACAAACTTGTTCATATATAAATTGAGACTGAAATACCGAATGAATACCCAATAAGATACAGAATTGTTAGCATACAGTTAGGATGAATGCAAATTAAGAAGGAAATACAAACATGTTGGTGTACTAATTGAGATTGAAATACAATATAAAAACAAAAAATATGTAAAACTTTTTGATATATAGATAGAATGAATAGACAAATAAACTGTTGATTCAGACATTGTAGATAGACAAATGTTTTCTCTGAATCTAAAATCCTAAAAGCAAATATAAGGGTATTTAAAAGTCAAACAAAATAAATATATGAATGGATTTGTAAATTCTAATAAATTTAAAATATTAAAACGAAATTAGAAAACAATTAAAGAAATTATTTAATCGACTAAAAATCTTAGATCATAAATATTAGATGAACATGTAAACAAACTTGCATAAACTTAAAAAAAATTGACGAAAACATGTAATATGTACAATGCGAAATATAAACCATAAACGGTGATATTGAAATTCGTAATATATAGAATCTGAAGTATACACCATAATCGGTGATTTTAAACAGCAAATCTAAATAAATCTAAATAAATAATGGAAATTACCTTGTCAATCGAGAAATCTGCTTGAATTAAAAAGATTTGTTTAATAATAGAGAAAATCTCTTGAACTAAAAATATATTTTGATGAACAATTTATGAGTACCTTGAAGAAAGAGAATCTAGAAACATGGGGAAAAAAAGACGGATAGAAACGTGAAAAGTGAGGTTAGAAATGTGAAGGTGAAGAAGGAAGATTAATGAGTATTGATAACCGATTGGTTTACACTATGTTTGAATCATTGTCACTCATTGTATTGTATCGTTAATATACCTACAATGTTTGTTTTGATTGTTACTTAAAATGTATTGTACTGTATTGTTAAACTTGGTTGTTACCTAACAATGAAAAACCCTATTTTATGGAATAACCGATTTGATGTGCTCCCGTTCTTACTTAATTTTTTTCCAATTATATCTTTACGTAATATTTCAAAATATCTACTCTCGTGTCCATTATCACTTCACAAATTATTTTGGCTAAGATTTTTCCTTATTTTAAAACATTTAAAATATATATATATTCGAATTGATTTAGTTTTTGATTGATTTTTTTTAATAAAAATCAAACCAATTCAACCATAGTCGGGTTTATTTCTAATACCAAACCAAGTCAAATCAGATCACATAGTCGGGTTTATTTCTAATACCAAACCAAGTCAAATCAGATCACATAGTCGGATTTATTTCTAATACCAAACCAAGTCAAATCAGATCACATAGTCGGGTTTATTTCTAATACCAAATCAAGTCAAATCAGATCACTAGTAAATTTTATTTTAATTTAAGTTGACTTGCGAATTTCAATTGATTTTATACAACATAACATCAATAAAAAAAATTAGAAAGATAAATAGAAAAACAATTTTATTGATGAATTTTGATATAGCGTAACCAAGATCAAAAGAGCTAATTGTCGAGGAATTTCATCGAACTAGCTATTGGTTACACATCCCAATAAGTCATAAAAATGATTACAAAAAAAATAGGTAAATCGTACTATTACTTTATTATTAGTAAATAAACTCAAATAAAGTAATTACTAATTTGGTCTCGTGCAATCGAATCGGATCTCACCCTGATTTCCGGTCAAAACTCCGACCCGACCCAACTTAGTCATTGCTGTTGCAAATGCTTGTTTAAATGCATCATTATTAGAAGCAAATAAGTTGACAGTATTTCTTGATCTTGAGTCAGTGAAAAGTATTTGATCAGACACAAATAGACCTTTTCCTTGTTGAAGGTTTTTATAATAAGCATTATCAAAAGTATTGGGTGTTGTTGGATCCATGTTAATAGCAATTCTTGGGTCGACCCGTAATGGACACATTTGCTTCAATTGTGCCACGTATGCTTTGTTTAGGGTCGGGTCAACACTGCTCTTTGGGCTGAAATTGTAAAGCCTCTTGGAAACACGGTTGCAATGAGAGAAACCAAGAGTATGTGCACCTATATTTCAAACAACGTTTTAGTTTGATTCGATATCAAATTTAAAAAATAGAGAATTTTTTGTCGTGCTAGGTAATAGAATGTTAAAATATCTATTAAAAAAGGTATGATACATAAATCTGTCACTTAATATTTAATATCCTCCAATTTAAGATGTCTATGAGTAAACATTTAAATTTGTATATAGTTGAATAAGTAGATACATGAGTCTTATATGACATAAAACACGTGGTGTACACCACGTAAGACACAAATTGCAACATAGGATGCTACGTTGACATGCGTGTCTGTTTGTTCAACTTTATATACAGGTTTAAGGTTTACATACTCAACTAAATACTCCATCCGTTTCGAAAAGAATGATATCCTTTCCTTTTAAGTTTGTTTAAAAAAGAATGACCTTTTTCTTTTTTTGGTACATTATAATTTCAGTTTTCCACGTGACATGTTTTAAGGCCACAAAATCAAACGACAATTTTGTACATTTGACCTAACTTTAATTTAGGGCCACAAGATTCGAAAGTCTTCTTTATACTCTTAAAATTTGTACCAAGTCAAACCAAATCATTCTTTGTGAAACGAAAGAAATAGCGTACAACGAAATTAGGCCAAAAAAAGAAAACATACGATAATTAAATTAGGACAGAGCAAATACCTGATAATGCGATCATATCAGTTTGGCTAAGGCCACGTCTAGCAAACATGGTATTGAGCTGGTCTAGGTTGAATCCTTCCCCTGGAAGTTGATGTTGGACTGAGGTTAAGGTTGAAACTTTCCCATCACGACGGCCCAACTCCACCGGATAAAATGGGCCTCCAGTCTACAATTATATTACGTAAGATTGATGAGATCAAGCAGTAATTGAACAGTCTTTCTACTGAAACACGACATATTTTATCTTGACATCATCAATATACTATATATACTGAATAGTAAAAGTAGTATTTTACCATAGCAACAACTTCTCTAGTAGCCAAAGCTAAAATATCAGCACAAGATACTTTGTTACGACATTTAGAGTCACTATCCACAGCTGCTTTGGCTTTGACAACAGTATCAAATCCATCACCAGCTAATGAAAGATTATCTGGATGGTCCTTCTCTGCTTTTCCATTTGGTGATGACAATAGCATCGATGCATCACAACCCTAAAATCACTCAAAATTGTTATATGTTAGTTTTTTTTTTTGTAATTGAGACAATTCAATGAATTTGAAAACGCACCCGAACAAAGCAATCATGAAAAAAGAGTCGGAGAGTCGCTGGAGCCGTAACAAAAGTCTGTTGAAATTTCAGTCTAACAGCAGAACGAACTAATGACTCAACATTTGGGCATGTATTTTTGTAAAAGTCTGTTTTCAATTGACCAAAGGCAATACTACTAACACTTAGAATTAATAACATAACAAAAAACAAATTACTGATCTTTTTTTGATTCTCCATTTTTTGAGATATTAATTTGATCATTTTATGGGTTGTATTTATACTTTTCATATATCAAAGTGGGTAGTTAAATTAAAGTTGGACTTTGGCTAAATACACCCTGGCCATTTGTTCAATGAGATTGTGGTTGAGTTATGGTGATTTTTTTTATCATTATCATTTTTTATAACTAAAGTTAATTATGAGTAGCATAGTATTTTTTTTATATGGTGGATTAGAGAATGGCAGATCATTAGAAATAGAATAAAATAATACTACTCCTTAATTGCATTGTTTTGTATTTTTTTTATATATAAAATAAGAAAAGAGATATAAGTGCATTTGGCTTGAAAGAAAAATGTTTTTATGAAAAATATTTTTAAAGAGAATAAGTGAGCCTATTTGTTATTATTTTTTTAGTATTTAAAAAATACGTTAAAAAAGAAATTCTCAAGAACAATTATATGTGTAAGTTAGTAAAATGTTATGAAGCTGGATTGTGATGGAGGGGTAGAATCGTCTAGAAATGAGGGTTAGGACACTAGGTTGAATAAAAGGAGGAGATAATGAATTATAGGTAAGTTCAAAATTGCATGCATAAATACAAAATAATAGTGGACTTTATTTAGCTTGCATTCTAAATAACAAACAATACTCCAACCATCTATCAATTTTCAATGTCATAAAAATAGAAATACATGTCCAAAAATTCATCACTCTATACTTGATTATCTCTAAACGTTACCCAATTTAACATTAAGATATAAAAATGACTCGATCGAGACTGAAATTAATTATTTACATTAATAACATAGGATAGATAACCTTCACAAAATATCATATCAATGTAAAAAATTAGTCATAAATAGACTACATCCCCCTAGCTAAAAGTTGTGTGTATCCCTAATGCATTAATTATTAAAAATAAATAAAGAACAAAGGGTTTAGCTTGGCCACATTCTCATCTTAATAATCTATTATGATGAAGTTTTCTTTGTTGAACATTGGGTGGGGGATTTCACAAATATTTTATACCTTAGGATTTAACTATAACTTAGAGTTTGATCATAGATTTTTAAATATTTTTGGCAAATATTATTTAGATAAAAAATTGGGTGAAATTTTATCATATGTTTGGCCATAGTATTTGAAAAAATTTATTTTTTAAAAAAATATTATTTATACCCATATATAAGTTGTAAAGACTATCAAAACTAACCATAAGTTTGTATTACAAGTCAACTGGATCTTCGTTGCAACTAATAACAAGTAGCGTTCATGACACTGGAGTAGTGTGGTAGTTTGGAATGAGTACCAGACATCATTCTATAAATCGTGAAGTAGACAAAGCACATAACTTTGTTACCTTGAGCCAATTGTTTATCATTTTTATCAACAATCATATCATCACTTTCATGTTCATTGAAATATTTCATGATCACTACTTTGTCGTTCACGTAAAAAAATTATGTAATACAACGCAAATAATATACTATAGAGGGTGTTTTTATTAAAGATTTTAAATTAAATTTCATTTTTTAAAAGATCCCAATAATGAGATTTGACCCAAATATCATGAAAAAAAAACTAGTATTTGAAAATTTAGGATATTTAACAAAAATGATAACAAATTATATTGACAAACACTATTTACCAATTTTTTCTCCCAATATTAGTTGAGAAATCAATGATCAAACAGGTCCTAATGGTATCTTACCCTTCTTGTTAAGAGGGTGAACCACGAGCAAAAATTAAACTATACCGATCTAAAGATAAACATAAACATACCTAGCTCTTTATGCTTTTAATTTGATTAATTTATCAAATCATAATAACCTCAATAATTGATCAACAAGATTTTGTATGTCATGCTTTTTCTTCCTTTTAACTTTGAAGAAGAATAAAAAGTTTAAGTGCATGAATCTGTCATTATCTTAAAAATTTTGGGTAGCATTATGAACGTTTAGAATATGGTATAGTCCAATAGCAAAAGAATGAGACAGGTAGTGACCAATGTGTGTCTCACAATGTTCCATGGAATAATCATTCGTTTAGAAAAAGACAAACAAAGCGCACATTTAGGGTCTTCCTTAAGCCATGTTACTAGTTATAAGTGACCCTTTCAACAATAATTAATTCATTTTAGTTTTGTCAAAAACCTACAACTCTTGCACTCTTTCAAATATAGTAAATTTATGGCATGATACATAATATATCTTTTAACTTAGTTTTAATTGATATTTATATTTATATCCTTTAATTTTGGATGTCCATAAGTAGACATTCAGATTTATATAAAATTGAACGAGTAAACACATGTATCTAGGGGCTTAGCTACCATTAGCTTAGGGATTTGACTCCCTTAGTCGGAAAATTATACTGTATTTATGAGTGAAATGATACTTTAAGGGTTAAATAATACATTTTGAACACCCTTGAAAAACAATAAAATTTCTTAGCTTAGTGGTTTCAGTTGTTCATCTCAAGTTAAGTCATTTGCTACCTGTTGTGCATGGGTTTGATTAGCTTCTAATTAATTTCTTAATCATAGTTAATAAATTTTGTAATTTTTGAACACCTTTCATAGAATTTCTTGTCACACCATTACATGTATCCTACCTGATATATACTATGTGGCAATTCATGTCCTAACGGCATCCTAATATGTCGCAAAGGGGAATTTTTTCTTTTGTGCCCTTGCATACCTTAATAATTATATCAGAGGTTTCTGATCAATTAAGGCATGTTTGGATTGGTTTTGGCTTATGAATTATAAGTCAAAAGCCATAACTTATGATTTTTAACTTATGACTTATTTTTATTATTTTGACTTTAAAATAAGTGTTTCTAAGCACTTTTTAACTTTATCTAAACACTTAAAAACTATTTTGACTTAAAAACACCTAAAATAAGTCAATCCAAAAGAACACTAATTCTTATTTCGTGATAAAGCAAAGAAACAAACTACTCAATTTTTACATAGTGAGCTGATTTTATTAATGAACATAAAAAGATAAAACCATTAATGTGTAGTGAAGAAATAAGCACATCTTTTCCTTTAATACCTAAAAAAATTTGAAATTTGTTAGTCAACTTTAACCCAAAAAAAAAGTAAAGAAAGAAAATTGTTAGTCAACGAAACGCATACGAAGTCACGACTATGCATGGCCAAGTACTTCTCAACGTGAAGACGTGTTAAATTAAGACACGTAACTAAGATATACTATTAGAATTATTGAAATATAAGAATCCCATGATCAATCATTTGAAATACACATGCTTTAACAGTTACAAGTGGATGAACATGAACTTGAAGAAATTATTTTTCTCAAAACAAATGACGTGTAGATTTGATCAAACTAAACATGTTTATTATATTATGTTGGAATTCTATCTCCAAATTCGCCTAAGGAACAAGTAAAATCTATATGTTTCTTTATCGAATACAACAATTATATTTTATGAATCAAATAAAATAATAATACAATATTTTATTGCGGAAAACTCTAACTCATAAAGATAAAAATCACGATCTACATCTTTGTGGAATTTAACTCTACTTTATTAAACTTCAAGTCTCAACACAAGATTACAAACCTACATAAACTAAGGAATTATAAACTCTAATTCCTAGCTAAGAAATTATAAACTCTAATTTCTAGCTACCCAAGATAAAAAACCCCAGGTTTAAATCTTCTACCGTCTGTCAAGTTTCTCAAACTTGTTAGACGAATCCTACACACACACTTGATTGTAACAAAACTCTTAATTAGAATCTTAAAACTTTTTCCTCACAAATTGGCAACACTCCCAGTAACTCTCAAAACTCTCTCAGACCTCTTGATCGTGTTTTGACCTCTCTCTATGTAAGTGTGCATATTCTCAAGCGAAACTATCGACCTATTTATAGATTTGGGCTTGAATCCAAAATCTATTTCAACTAGAAATCCTACTTGTGTTCTTCTTCCTTTTTCTCTTGAAACTTAGAAGCTCACGCGTAGGTTTCCTATATTGTGCGGAACTTCTAGTTCAACTCGAACTTGTCTTCCCCACATCTTCAACTCCTTCTTCAACTAGAACTTAACTTTTCCGCATCTTCAACTCGAACATCCTTGTTTTTAAACCAAACTCAACACGTACTTCTTTTATTCTTTGCTGCTGAAACATTATCGCTAGAATAAAACCTTGTAGCATTAGGACTTCTCTTTGTACTTTGCATTGAAAGGAAATTCTTACGTGATTTTCCTTATTTAGCTTACAAAAATTCTTTCCTACTTTAGCAAAACCTAGTTGAACTCAACTTGGATAAGGTAATATTTTCTCCAAACACGTTTTTCAATTCAGACTTGAATTCAACTACAACGTGTTAATACTTCCCTGGACATGTTACCTGTACATGTTAGTACTACCTATTCTATCGTAACTTTGCCATGTTACTGCGACAACTTCTTAACTTTGTCATACTTCAAAACAACAAGACCTTAACAAATTTCTCCTTTTTGACTATGACAAATTTTATTTGCTTGCATTGAATAGACCAATAAATACGTACAATCATATGCACGTTGCAAACAATATTTTCGTAGTCCCTTCCAGTAGGCCTTGTTAAACTCAGATCATGTTTGTTAAACTTGTTTCAAGATGCAATCTTTGTCACTCTTCAAAATATACATATTCATGTGTGCCATCGAATTCCCCTTTTTTGATGATGACAAACCATTGTTTCTTGTGTGAATAGATCAATCTATGTTATTTTAGTTTCTTAAAACACAATACACAGAGCAAATACATTAGAGGACAAGTTAGACCAATTAGGTTATAAATATTACACAAGTATGCACTTCCCCCTTTTGACATCATAAAACACTGTGAAGGTATACGCCGCACTAGATAAACAAATTCGATACTCATAGACACTAGGTCTTTCACCTACACAAACACTTAAAAAATCAAAAACTCAGTTAATTATAGCAAAGCATTTACACAAACAAAAGAGATTGACATGAACCTAAAACTCAAACTCAACATTAGCATTAATCAAAAGT